GAAAGGGGACCAAGCATGTGGGGCCTTGCAGTAAAGCACTGGTGTCCAGGGGAGCAGGAGGGCCCCGAGATGGCCTTACAGGTGTCCTCACTCCCCCAGCATCTCTTCCCTGGGAATGAGCAGGTAAGCACACAAGAGCGTGTAGAGAGAGGTGTTCCTCAGTAGTAGTAGACATGAAAAGCAAGCTGTTTTCATGTGTTGTGTGATCTTGTCTGTAAAACAATATGGACAGGACCTGTTGATGTGAGAATGTATACATGTAAGACTCTTACATGGGACAAGACTCTGAGCAATTTCACTTGGAACTTGTGGGTGTTTTTCAGGCATGTATGAACCTTTGTAAGTAGTAGAGGAAACCAGGCCCCATCTGAGGAGACTGAACAGGAGAGCTGCTAGGGGCTCAGGGGAGGGGGTCCTCGGTTCCACGCCTCCTCCACCTCACCTGTGTCCTCTTCCCTCCAGACTGCAATAAGGTAACTGACCAGTGCCTGTCCTTCTTCAAACGCTGTGGGAATATCTGTCACATTGACCTGAGGTACTGCAAGCAAGTTACCAAGGAAGGCTGCGAGCAGTTCATAGCCGAAATGTCTGTTAGTGTCCAGTTCGGACAAGTGGAAGAAAAACTCCTGCAAAAACTGAGTTAGTCCAAGGACAAGTATGTAAATATGGGGTGAGGGGAGGGGAGACGCCAGGGGAGGGGGAAAGACTTTACAAAAACTAGGGCCTTTAAATATTTTCAGTTTGGAACTTGGAACAACAAACCCCAAACAATTCCCTTTTGCAAGTCTTGCCGAGGGAGAAGCCAGTCTGCCACTGTTTGGGGGATGAGCGAGCCTGGTGCTTTCCTCTGGTCTTTCTGAATCAAAACCGCACTGCTTTCTGGACCATTGCTCAGGCGGCCTTTACCGAGAAGACATTCCCGTTGGAGAGGAGGATGGACTTGGGCGACATTCTCTTACTAAAGCATGAGCTTAGGAAATTTGGGGGGGGGGGGGGTGTTTTTGTTTTGGGCACCTTACTCCTGGCAACTTTGGGGGTTTTGGTGTCAACATAAAGTGGACCACATACCACATCTGCCGTCTCAACATGTTTGTTTGGTTTTGTTACATCTTACATTATGCAGAACTATTTTTGTACAAATTGTTTAAAAGTTATTTATGCAAGGTTTGAATGCATACCAGTGTTTTTATTGTTTTGAGATTGCCAACTTTCCTGGTTTCCTTAAGGTAGGAGAGACCTTTCCGTGTACTTCATACAAACCCATCTATACATGTGCCCAGATCTGGCAAAGCAGGCTAAGACCTCCAGTTAAAAGCATGTCTAACTGGAAGTTGAGAGTCTGCTTTGTATGTCAAGAAATTGCATAAGCATGATGTGGATATATGTAAATTATAGTCAAAGTGAGAGAGACACTTTGCTAAATTTCCTCTGTATAGAATTCACCTTTTTTTTTTCCCTCAAAATTTTGAAATTCAGACTTCAGCCTTTGCACTCAGGAGGGGTTTGCTCCAGCATGAACTCTTATATTCTACATAGATCTAATTTATACAGTGAGTCGAGAAATAGAATAAATGACCCAACACAGCCTTTTCTTTTTTTCTCTCCTTTGAAGTGAGCTGAGTTCTCATTTGAGGTTTAGAACATGGCTGTTGCCCAGTTGTAAAGTTACGCATTCATAAGTGCCATTGTTGTAAGATGTTGTTTTCCTAGACCTTCCCTGATGCGGTTTTACCTTTGTTGAATTTGTATAAACAATTGTACAAAAAAAAACCCACTCTTGGACTTTGCGGGTTTTTGTTCTGGGGCAGACTGGAAGTCTGACTGGGAGGTCCAGAGGCCATAGTCTCGACACCAGTGATATATATTTTGAAGCCAGACTAGGTATCATTTGTTAGTCACCAGAGAAATGCAGCAGCCCCTTGGTACATGTTTTTCCATCTTCCGAAAGAGATCTTGTTGTTCGTAGCTAATAAAGTAACGTCCACATGTAAGAATTAGGTACAAACTGCTTTAAGGGGCAGAGTGGCTTACCTGTGTGGTTGCCTCTGACCACGCCTGTATAAGGTAACTTCCACAGCCACTTGGCATTTTCACTGCCAAAGAGGGGGGACGGGGGTCCACTTGCTCAGCCTCCAGTGGAGGCAACTCAAGGAGACCACAACCTGCACTGGTGACCTTGGGCTGGGGTGGCTGGAGGCCCTTAGCTAGGAGGTAACTGCTCCAGGTGGGACGTCAACTTGAGATCACAGAAAGATGCAACTAGTCATCTGAAAATAAAGATAGCCCAGCTTCCTTCCTCAGTCATCAACAGCACCACCAGACTTGGGTCTCACGGGACTAGCCTTTCCCACTAATAGTCATTTCATACTCACACCACCACCCCAATCCTTTTTTTTTTTTTTTTCCCCTTGGTGAAATGGTTTTAGATCCCATCTAGGTCTATGCCTCCTATTCATTTAAATCCTGAGATCCTTTCTGACTCAAACTGGAGACATCTGAAGCTGTTGCACCCTGGAATTTAACTCAGGGGATGCATTTGACAGAGGTAAGATTAGTTTAACACATGATGGTTTGTTTATAAAAATGTGGCTTACCTTTCAAGCCTGATCACTCATCATGGAGCACCCACACCATAGGTCAAGTTGCAGTTTTCTTGGCAGCCTGAGTGCTGCGAACCTCTGAGTAAGAGTTACCCTGATGTCCAGTAAAGGCATCTTCTTCTTTGGGAACTGTTGAAGGGTGACAGTGGTTTCCAGGTGGAATCTTGGCATTAGAAACTGACCCTGTTTTCCGGTCACGTTTGTAGTGCGCTGGTCACAGATTACCATTCCCCAGGTGTACCAAACAATCCAGTTAAGTTTATATAGTAAGTCCCTTACACACAAACAAGTTCTGTTCTAACAGCACATTCCTAAATTCAATTTGTTCTGAAGTCCAACAAAGTTAGCCTAGATAACCAACTAATGTAATCAGATATATAGAACTATGCAGGTTTATAATACTTTGGACACAAATACCTAAAGAAAACAAACATTTCTAATCTTCTAGTACAGACTTTTAAGTACAGTACCAGCTACATCACTGCTCCTTTTACGCTTGCTTCCAGACATCCTGGACTTGAAATAAACACTGTCTTCTCTACAGTATTGTGAAGTACACAACCATTTGTAGAGGATGCATGCATGTGACAATGTATGCCAGGTATGTGAACTAACTCACGTGACTGGACATGTGAGCACATGTTCACAACTTGAAGGTACGTTATGTTAGGGTACTTAAGTGTATCCCAGTACAGACCTGTTCCTTAGAAAATGAGCTTTAGATGAGGCTGGGCCAAGCTAGATGCTTGCAAACAGCTATTCTGAGCCCAAATACATCTGATGAAGTAATGGAAGGTACATAAAGCATAGGGAGCACTTCCTGGGTAAGACCACATCTTAACCCAGGAAAGAGGACAGGCTCCAACCCTCCTTCCTCGAGGGATGCTGACCTTGACAGAGATACCATGGCCCATCGAATGGCATCCTTCCGTACCATGAGGATAAAGAGACATCACTATTCCCTTGTGGATCCATATGACAGGTTACCTATTCAGAAATAGAGACATGGCATGCAGCTAGAAAATGCAGGTTCCAGACAGACATGTTTGCCCTCTGCCAAATAAATCAGTACCTTATTATTCCAACCTATTAGGCTGAAAATGTGTTTGCTTCTTACTAAGCCAAGGTTGTTTGAAAATGCTACCTAAGAAGATCCACCACTAGGAGTTTTTGTTCATTGCTACAACAAACACCTGATAATATATGTAAGTCCAAGAGGAAACAGTAAATAAGCTGTTTTCAGCTGAGACTATGAGCAAACAAATCTCAATATTCTAATTTAACTTCAGATAACACCAATACCTGCTGCTTGGCTTCTATTTAGGTGTGTTTACTGTCTCACCCACTAGCCTAGATTTGAAGACCCCTCCACAAAATTAATGATTTGTGGGTAATGTTGAATTTCTGGAGTTCACTGTCTGACTAGAAGTACAGATTAAGTGCACATATAGCTTCAGCAGGGGCTGAGCTCTGGGTCTGCAGGCAAGCACAAGAGAAGAGGTTTTGAGACTATCCACAAAGCACTGGTTTACATGCTTTGACTCTATCAGAAAACGTAGAAAGGCAACTTTATTTCATAGCTAGCCAAACTTCCAGCCTTAAGCACAGTGGGGAAGACTATTTACCTCCTTTGCTGTAATTTTCAAGTCTTGTTCATTGACTTCTGGATCCTGAGCACCTGAAGGCATGCATTACCCACTGCACAGAGTCAAAAGAAAAGAAACCCACAGGACTCACCCAAGGAGTTATGTAATTTCCCAAAAACACATCTCCTCACAAGCAGTGGGAGTGAATCCACAGTTGGTCTCAATTCAACCACCATGATCAGAATTAGATCTAAAAGAAAAGATATTTCAGATCATTGATATCCCAAGAACCTTTTTTGCATAAGTTAGTTTCTCAGGTTTATCATCTCTGGTTATTAGAGGAGTTAAGAAAAAACATTAGAGCTAGGTTCAAATTCTGAGGTGGGGGCTTATTTTATTAAAAGACTTTCTTTGGCTTCACTTTTTCTTGGCTTCACAGGATCTTAGTTCCCCAATTAGGAATTGAACCCAGCCCTCGGCAATGAGAGCAGTCTTAACCACTGGACCTCCAGGGAACTCTTTGTGGTGACTTTTTGACAGATTTTAGACGAGTTTTTTAATTTCTCAGAGATTGAGTTCCCCATCTGTGACATGAGGTAATATATATTTGGAAATAACCACAAAACACCTGGCACAATACCTGGTCACAGTAAACGGTGAAAATGTAGTTAAACTTACCATTAAGTCAGCAGCCAAGGGTAGATGGGGGCAACATCTTTGAAGGTGCTCCTTGCTCTCCTGAAGGAGGTGATGGACCAGGTGTGGACACCCATTCATGCTGTACCCAAGTGAATAAAGAACTGACCAGGAAGAGTGTCCATAAAAACATTTCTTAAAATCTAATTTTATTCCTAAAGTTCAAATTAGCTAGTGGGTAGCACTGAAAATACACTTTCACTATACAAAACAGTGTAACTGATCACACGTTAATAAAGAATTTAACACACACACTTCTCTAATGAAGGAAGCTAGATGCAGCCCTTGCTAGAAAAAGCTGTACCTGAACAAAAATGGACACGTTTAGTCTAAGGCCCTGGCAGTTGACTATAGAATGTCAGTTGTTCCCAATGAGGTTGAAACGCAGAAAGAGCGACAATGTGGAAACTTACATTCATCAAATAGTAGCATTTAAAATATACATGACTAATGAACATTCAGAGGTGCCACTGCTCAGCGTGTACCGTGTCAGCCATTTGCAGACAGTGATCTCATCCAAAGAGAACAGAAGTTTCAAACATCTGAGTTAAAAATAGGACGAAGGAGAAACAAGAGAACAAGAGAAATGTCCTGCAAAGAGAGCAGTAGCTGATGCCATAAGCAGTCCACTTGAGCAAGGAGTCATCAAGAGGCATTGTGAGGGAGCCCAGCAGAACCTGGGAAACTGAGCCCGTGCTCAGGCTGACGGGCGTACGGCATGGACCAGTGTGGCCGCAACTCAGGATGAATCTTTCCCGTCCCCAGTTAGAAGTGAAAATAATTTTTTAAAAATAGCTTCAGCTTTCAAACAGGAAGTTTCCAGTCCCCTTCTGTGCACGGAAATGTCTAGGATGGAGCTCAGCGCAGGGGGCTGGGCTTCAGGACTTGAACACGTGCACAGCGCGCACCACGTACTGCCGGCAGATGGGACACTCGCTCATGCGCTTGCCACACTTGGTGCAGGTGACCATGTGCCCGCACTCGAGCAAAACGCAGTCGATGACGGCGTCCATGCAGATCCGGCACAGGCTGTCATCCTCCTCGTCCTGCAGCTGCAGCCGCTCACCATCTGAAAGGCAACAGAGGGCTGGGGTGGCGGGCAAGGCCGTGGAGGGACCCAGTGACCCCACTGTGAGAAGCAGTCCCCACTTCTTCTCACCTCGCTTCCTTCCCCTAGAAATGACAATAAGGACGCCTTGTAGGGTTGTGTGAAGAATAAATGAGAAATGCTAAGCTGAGGGCCAGGGATGATGTGCCTAGCAAATGTTAGCTATTTAATTCTATTTTATGTTGCTGTTTGTTTAGTTGCTAAATTGTATCAGACTCTTTTGTGACCCTGAGGACTATAGCCTGCCAAGCTCCTCTATCCAAGGGATTCTCCAGGCAAGAATATTGGAGTTGGTTGCCACTTCCTCCTCCAGGGGATCTTCCCAACCTAAGAATCAAACCAGTGTCTCCTGCACTGCAGGTGGATTCTTCACCACTGAGCCACCTTGGGACCCCCAATTCTATTTTATAGAATACATAATACAAGGTTTTTGTGATAATGATGGCTTGCTTCTGTAAATAAAAATGAAGAAACCCAGACTGGTTGATACAGGAGCCTCAGAGAACACAATTGGAATTTCCAGCCCAACTACATGGCCTTGAGAAAATCGCAGATTCCAGAGCCTCAGCTCTGGAGGAAGAGTGTGAGGAAAGTTTATTAAAGTGTCATACACTGAGTTGCCTGTCGTTGTGGGAAGGCACCCCCTGAGGCTTGGAGGCATCTTAAAATTAATCTGTGTTTCTGGCTATGATAGTACTATTTGAGTCTACTCAAAAGGGACCTTCTGGTTCTGAACAAGAAAGGTATGGAATGAGTTTAAAAAGTTCATTGCAGCCTGATATTTGGCCACAGAGCTTTGGAAAGTGAGGTTTCCCCTTCTAAAGGTCACAACGGGAATCATGAAGAAGGTTAGAAAAAATCAAACGGGAATCCAAGCTCAAAGGGCCAGTAGTCCAGTAGTCCCCGGATTTAAGAGAAATAAACACTGCCATGTCAAGAGATTCTCTCTGAGGTCCTAGTTCTCGGCCCACACCATTAGTGGAAAGTAGGTAGAAAGCATGCATGGAATAAGATGACACATGAGCTTCTGAATGCTCCAATGACTAAGATGCCTGTGTCTACTATTGTGGCATCATCTTAGAAACAGGTGTGCCAAAAGGCTTTCTGCATATTTTGGGCATAGACCTGTTTACCAACCAATGCTGTGTTATAACCAGCTTTTAAAGAAAAAAATTCAAGATTTTTTTTTGAAATTAGAACGTAATATTTGTCAGTCTGAACACCACTGAATTCTTTTCTCTTGCCTATAAAAGGTCTATGGCCCTGACCCTTTACTAGCTGAGGATTTCTGCTCCACACTCCAGTATGTAGTTTAGAAGTTCTTAACCTCAGCTTTTCACAACTTACACAGAAACCTACTAATACTGATGCTAAGAACTACTTAATATCTTGGCTCTAGGGAATTTTTTTCCCCACTGATTATCTCAATTGTAGCTTTTAAATCCTAAGTACCAGCTTGCAAGACAGGTGAGTGAGAAAAGAAGCCTTTTTATGGATCCAAGGAATTTCATTAGAGTTCTAACAAATTATGGCAAGAAAAAACAGACTGAGCAAATGATTACCTGACTCACCAGCAATGGTGAAGCAATGGTGATCTCAAAGCCAACATCACATAATGAACTTACTGCTTAAAAGATCTATAAACAGCTTCATATGACTAATTCACACTCAAAGGATAGTTTTCTCAAAAATAAATTGGACTTCATTGTGACACAGACAGCCCAGTTTTGTTTGGTTTTGTTTTTTGACAGCCCAGTTTTAAAAAGCCTAAAGAAGGCTACTCTAAGGACAAAAAAACAAAAATAAACCTACATGACTTTTGGTTTTCTTCATTCTCTTTGTATAACCGGTTTACTTTCTCAACTAGCTCCCATTTTTCACAACAGCCAGAATAGTTGACGAAATTCCGAGCCAGGATCTCCTTCAGCTGGCGCACGCTCATCCCTTCTACGTCCTCAAGGCTTGATAGGTCAGACAGAGAAGCTCTCACTCTCTTCTTGGCGAGGCCAGGCGTCTAAAATCAGAGAGTATATCCATTACCTCTGTTCCTGCAAATCCAGCAAGGAAAACAGCATACTGCCTTCGCCCTATGGGCATCACTGGTCCTGGAGATTCGACCCAGACTTTTCATGAGTCCTTGTTGTGTTTTATATGCTGTGCTGCATTCAAACTAGAAGCAACAACCTGTGCTAATCTAGCGGAAGTCCACATGGACATTTTCCCTACAAGGGCGAAGACATGTCAGGAAAATCAAATTATACAGGCAATCTCACCCGCTCCTCCAAGTTTTCTTCTTCATCATCGTCATCATCATCATCGTCGTCATCATCATCTTCATCGTCTTCTGTGTTTGCTGAAGCTATTTCACTGGGCTCCTACACACATAATGGTTATTAGGCCAGGACTTTTCCTAGCAGTTATCAACTCATACTTATCACTGGAGAAAACCCTTCTAGCCATCCTCCCTAAGAATGACCCCAACACCTGGTACACTCCACACCTTCCCAGGGTCCTGAGAGCTACTGCCCCTCCCAAAGAGTTGGGCCCCACATGATTCTCTAAACAACTAACCTTCCATAATTATCTCACAAGTCAAATTCCTATGAGAGTGTGAATCTGTAAAAATCTAACCAGAATATTAACTCCCCAAGGAGTTAAGAAGGGCCCATCACAGGATACCAAAGCCAATAGTGTATGAAATTGCACTGTGTCCTGATCAAAGGACCCGCACATGGCTAGTTTAACTGGCGCCTCTAAGATACAGGTAGAAACTAAAGCTCTAAGATCAGCCCTAGTGTCAGGGCTATTTGATTTCAAAGATCTCAGTCCTACTATTTCATACTTAGACATTCTAATTCCAAACAAAGCTTTCTAGAATAATTCACTGATGATGGATGCTAGTTCTAGTTTTTAGAAGTTCCTCAACCATCAGATACTTTTTTCTTTAGGAAGAACAGAAAGCCTATGTCAATTTACAATTTCAAGTATTCTATCCTAGTAGTTCACAAGCACCATATTGTAATACCCAAAACCCACACCTCCTGAGTGGTGTCATATACCCCAAAGTGACACGAAGGTCAGACACATGCGTCTTGTGTTTGCATCATAATTGTGCCAGCTGCCATTTGGCAAAACAACAAAATGCCTAACTTGGGCTTATTTAATTTATGACTATTTAGAAAGCAGCTAGACCACATTTCCCTCTGCTTCTAACCTCTTTCCTCAGAGGAGAAAATTAAACATGCAGATAAATGTTCAAAACAATTCTTTCAACATTTTAGAATCATTCATATATACAAATTGGGTATTAATTACAAGCCCGTGCATGTTATTCCATCAGAATGCCTAAGGACCTCACTGAGACAACATTCTGCACTGGCATTTCTTTGAAATGAGTAAATAACCGTATCGTGTTGCTAATTCACATGGCTCTTTCCCAATATCTAGATGAGCACAACTTTACTGTAGCAAGACAACTGTTTACACCCTGTAAACATTTATGTGCTACGTTTCACGGCCATTATTTCAACAGCTAGTATTTAACTATAGGAGATAAGGAAACTGAGGTAACTAAGGTCAAGAGACTGATGAGCTCTTTTCAGACCCTTTGTACAGCACCTAAGTGCAGAGCCTCAGGGGAGCCTGCAGGCGCAGAGTTCAGCAAAACATGGAACCTCTGCTCAGCAAGGAGCCATCAGCCCTGAAGGCCCCACCACACTGGCCAAGAGCAGATGATGTACCAGGCCCTTGGGGAACTGCACCCTCGTACCTGTGCCAGCGCTCCAGATCCTAAGGTCCGGTCTCCACCCATAAGCTCTCCCTGAAACGAAGACGCAGTAGCAGACGGGGCTGTATAGTTTGAAAAAAATGAGTGTGTAAAAAAGCTAGAAGTCTGGGACCTTGAGGAATTGAGACTGCTCGTGTCCAAGTCGTCCTCAGAGCCCAGCCGATGGTGGCACAGGACCAGTTCCACCAAGTCTTCTTTCTCCCGACAGGTATCGATTGGTATGTTTCGAAGGATGAGATACTGTCGGAGATCCTTCACTTTCAGTCGCATTAACTGAGGGCGCTGAAAGGCCGTCTCTTGTAATAAGTGACAAGTGGAACATCTACGGAGATTTTCTTGTAAGACCGAACACACGGAGCAAAAATCTTTCTTGCAGTCACAACATACATGCTGAAGAGACAGAGAAAAAAGAAGCATTTAATGAGAGCCAGACATAAGCCACTGCAAAAGCCCTAGTTTTCCTTTTGCCTTCTATTAAAATTAAATTTTAGTTTTTATGAAGCCCCCCATGGCACCAGACCCATGGGCATTTCGTGTTCTCAAAGCTGTGAAAATCAAAACAGTCATTGCTGAGGCAGTCTGGATTCACCAAAGTTCAAATATAGCCCTTTAAGAAAAATATACTCTTGTGTTAATGAATTAAAACCTTTCCACCCATGGGTGCAAACATGTAATTAGCAAAGCAGAGCTGACTTGAACCACATGGAGCAGAAAAGCACAAGCACAAACTCTCTTCCTGCTCTTTTCCTGTGAAAATTTCCCCGTTTACAGAGAAGGGGGGCTGTTCACATGAAACAAACACAACATTGTTAATCAACTATATCCAATATAAAATAAAATAAGTAAAGAGAAGAGGGGAAAGCCTAACACAGAGAGGAAAAGAGAAAGGCAACTGATCTCTCAGCATCAAGCCAAGCAAACAGAGGACGCCACTTCACAATAATCTGTATCCTACAGAACCTTAAATCACTATCAAAGCCATTCCATGAGCAAAGCTTAAAGATACTAAGATGTGCTCATTTCCGCTTGGGGTTAGGAATACCAACCCTTGTTAACACCTTGTTCCTTAAGTATTTTAAAGGACTGAACTGACAGACTGGGAGATGACCTAGCAATATGATGGTACTCAGAAAGAATGACTTCTGTCCTAAAGAAAAATAACTGTTTTAGCCCAAGTGTGGTATGTTTAATCTTTAAACAATAGTCAATATTAATATACTCACTTCTTCACTTGAGTTCATATGGGTAGGGAGACATTTTTTTGAAACTTGAGGTCAGAGCTATAGTAAATCATCTCTGAACACACTGTTGACTAATTAAATCTTTTGCTTCAGAACATAAGCAGCATCAGAAGAATCAAAGTGGATAAACAAAGTCAGAGTCCAGGAGAAAGGATGGCTGAGCATCATGAGAAGTAATAGTGTCTAGTTAGAAAAATTGAGCAATGATACACAGCCCCTTCAACTTAGTACTTTTCCAAATGGGAAATGGTTATTAGGACTAACTTTTTGACAGGTATAAGAAGAAATGAAAGTATTCAAAATAACATACAGTTGAGAATTCTGACACATACGTTTTTAGTATTTAACATTTCATGCAACTCACCTTCTTTCTAAAGACTGAAAATGAAAGTCCACAGGCTTTGCAAACTATATTAGGCCCTTCTGTAGATGCTGGTGGGTAAGCAGAAAAATCAGAATTTGGTGTAAATCTAAATGGACCAGTGCCTCCTGCAAATCCAGATTGCTGGCCCCTGACAGCTCCAGTCCCCATGACTTCATTCAGTAGCCCACAGCACGAAGCCCACATAGACGTAGCACCCGCCTGAAAAGGAACAAAAACAGGCATCAGTTTAAAGCTGAGTGGAACCTGGGCTCTCTGGGATTCTTAAGGAATGCCATTCTGCAGAAGCACATTTGCCCTAAATAATTTTGAGATTGGGGGGGGGGGGGTTTGGCCACACTGCCTGGTCTGGGATTCTACTTCCCTGACCAGGGAGTGAACTGGCACCTCCTAAAGTGGAAGCAGGGAGTCTTAATTACTGGATCACCAGGGAAGTCCCATCGAGATCATATTTTTAGCATCAAAATTTTAAGCTATTTGACAGTGGGTTATTTTCTGGTATTTACAAAGAATATTTGGCTTTGGGGATACTCATGATACACTGTTAACAAAAGGAGAAGATACAACATGAACCCAATTTCATAAAAAAAAAAAAAAACACCCACACACAAATGCTTAGAGATGTGCATACAACACAGAAAAAAAAAAAAGACTGGATAGAAGTACATGCTGTGTGATACTTGGGGTTTATGCTCATCCCCCCCCTCAGATTGTTCTTTATCTAAAATTCAAATTTAATTAAGTGTCTTGTATTCTACCTGGCAACCTTAAAGACTGGTGACCACAGATAGCACTGTTCTATAGGCTGAAGCAGTTTTTCCTATCATTTAGCAGAAAGAATATAAATTCAAATTATTTAATTTCGTTAAACTTCGGTCCTCTCATTCATAACTGGACATAATAAACTATGGTATGTGAATGCTTTTTTGGTTTTTTTAAAATGACTGGGAAAACATCAAAATGCCAGCTGAGGTGCTCTCTAGGTTTTCATGTAGATCTCATGTAATTTGTTTTCTGGAGTTTTCCCCTGCTTTCCAAATCTTTATAAAGAAAATATTAGGGACTTCCCTGGTGGTGCAGTGGTTAAGAATCTGCCTTGCAGTGCAGGGGACGCAGGTTTGATCCCTTGTTGGGGAACTAAGATCCCACATGACACGGGCCAACGAAACCCGTCACAGAGTTCTCCAGAGCCCGTGCGTCACAACTAGAGAGCTGGGATGCCACAATGAACATCCCGCTTATTGCAACCAGGACCCAACACAGCCAAATAAATATTTTTTAAAAGAATATATATATTAACATTAAGGAAATATTTTTACCAGCAAACTAAGAATACTGAACACAATTTTGATGACTCGATAACCATAATGACGTTATGAGGTCTAAGGGCTATTTTCTATACCATTAAGTGGCTTGAAACTAATATGCTGCCTTTTATGTTTTCTCCCATCTCTTCCCTTTCTGTGAATCATCATTGCTATCATTATAGCTACTTCTATCAACTTTTTTTTTTAACTGTACTCAGAAACCTGATAACCAAGCTTGTTAGAAGTGTATATAAAAATATATTTTCAGTGAGGGCTTTAGGCATTTTCCCATGCTAAAAACAAAAAGCTACAGTGTTTGGAACCAGTGAGCTCTTGCCCCTTGTCCTGATTCTTAAGCATATTCTAGACTCTAGATAATGTGATAAGTAATGGAATTCCAGGTAGGTGAGGTCTTACAAGTTAAAAGGGCAAAACATGACAACAGTACACTGTTCCCTTCATTATCTAACTCTGTCAAACATTTACTATTTGTCCAATGAGCTCTTAAAAAAACTTTCTTATAAACAATCTTAAAAGGTTATTTGGAATGTTATAGAAGGATCTTGCCATTCTTACTACTACCCAGAAGCAGTGTGTGTGTGCGCTCAAGTGCTCAGTCGTGTCTGGCTCTTTGTGACTCCATGGACTGTACGCTGCCAGTCCTTGGGATTCTCCAGGCAAGAATACTGGAGTGGGTTGCCATTCCCTTCTCCAGGGGATCTTCCTGACCCAGGAACTAAACCCTTGTCTCTTGTATCTCCTGTATTGGCAGGCAGGTTTCCACCACTAGCGCCACTTGAGAAGCCCAGCAGAAGTAGTATGCTATGTTAAACACCGGGAAAAGAGAAGGTAAAGAAACATGAAACCACAATACAAGGTTCAAATAGTGTTAAGCATCAGGGTCACTGACTTAAGTATTATATGGCTTCAAACCCTATAATTCTCAAGAAATAGTGATGCCTTTAAAGTCAGGTTAAGTTATAATTAATAGTTCATACCTTTAAATAAATATATACCTCAGACCCTACAGCCATGATTTGTTTAAACATAAAAGCATAAAAATCCAGATTTACTAATAGTCCATTTAAAGTGAGCTTTTTTTTAGCAAAGGATTCATCTGCAGTGCTTTAAACAGTGAGCTCTTAAAACAACTGAGAATGTTTTCAAAATATTCAACTTGCACATAATATTTTGGGGGGAATACCTCAACTACAGAAAGTACCACCAGGAGAAACTTTTTTCATTCCAAGAGTTTAAAGAAGTATAGTTTTGAGAAACTTTAGCTTCCTGCTGACCTAACTTCTAAATGATTAAATTGTTGTTAGGACCCTTTTAATTCCTGGGTGATACTGTCTTAACTCCAGTGAAAATTCCTTGTGAACAGAACTTCTTTCCTCCACAGCATACAGTTGCATCACTATGACTAATTGATAAATAACTTTGTAAAAGGTTTCATTATGATACTTCTTTAAAAGGGCAATGTAATTAAATTTTTTCTGCTACCTAAAAAGTTCAAATTGTGTCTTGTTAAGAAAGAGTAATAAAGATAGAAAAAATTTTGAACTTGCAGGTGGAAAAAATGAATGATACTCCCTTTTAAAAGTAGCTCTGTTGCACATTTTGTTCTTTCTGTCCCAAAACACTTTTACAATGAGAGTAAAGGAAGGATACAAATTTTCAAACCATGTTAATGAGTGCAACCATTAAAATTCTAGGCTGAAAACACACACAGTTATGATGAAGGGAATAGAAGAATTTGTTTTTGGGAAAACAACTGAATCTCTGTGTAGACATCAATATTGGAGGGTAACAATTTCCTCCAATTCCTCACATTTCTGTAAAGGGGAGAGAAGTTCCTCTTCATTCCCCAGAAGGGAAAATAATGGAAAGAATGCTTCTTTCAGTTATTTCATTATAAAATAAAAATTAAAACACAAAGCCCAAGCCAACTCCCAGAGCACTGTCCCAGGCAAAAATGTGTTGCTATAACCTAATATTTGGTACAAATCAGCCAAAGATCATACCAGAGGGGAAAAAAAAGAAAAATCTGAAACACTGAAAATCTGTTTCCGCTTCCTTAGATCTGTGAACTCAATTTTGAACAAAATCTCCCAAAATGAGAATAATCTCCCAATAAGAGAATATTCCTCAAAAAAAAAAAAAAAAAAGAATATTCCTCATATTCCGGTGAAGATTAAATCTACCTGTGTGTACTGTCACCCTCTGACAAGAGCATTGGCGACACTCCAGCCTTTCTCAAAAAGTGCAGAAATTTCAAACAGTGGAAGCCCAGTTACCAGTTTTACTCCAGCATATCTTTCTTTACTGTCCAGCATATCTTAAAAACTTCATTTCTATTTCCCCTTTAAGACTGTTTTCTGGCACCCCAGTGCTGAAATGAAAGTGATGTCTTTAGTGATTCAACCTCCCCCACTTCTTTGGAGCAGGTATTTTTAATCCTGTACTACAGGAGCTGCTGTCACTGCCTTTCACTAAGGAGTTGCCTAGGCCAGTGAAACTGCTCTTAAGACAGTAGTTGGACTGGCCAGGAGAGCCGTAAAAAATACTGAGCCCCAGGATTCTTTTTTTTTTTCCCAAGACTCTGATTTAACTAGTCTGGGTACAACCTAGGCATCAGAATTAAAAAAAAAAAAAATTCCCTCTGTGGGGGAGGCTCATCAGGGAGGGGTCATATATGACTGATTCGTGTTGATGTATGACAGAGACTACCACAGCAATGTAAAGCAATTATTCTCCAATTTTAAATTTTTTTAAGTATAATAAAGAAAAAAAAAGTCAACCATTAAAAAAAATTCCCCATGTGATGTGCATGTACAGGCGAGATTTGATGGTTAACAACTGCTGAGTCTAGATTTCTCCTTCCTGCCTCCATCATTTCAGCTGGAGAATCACTCAAGAGATTCCAAAGTGGAAGAGGCTGTAGTTACTTCTGAAGCCTGTGCCTCTAGAGTTCTAGGACCAATACCTCCATCTCGTGCTCCTCACGACCTGTGTATACGCCCCACCCCATGTCCCATCCCCAGGCCCCAAGCAGTGGGATATGCTTTCAGTTTTTCCTTTCCCTCCATGGTTTCCCCTAATTCTTTCAGAAAGACTCAGCCTGAGTTTTCAACAATTTACTCTGATTCTTAAATTAGTTCCTCTCCTTTACCACATATTATTAGCCTGGAACTTAGGATGAAATCTGATGCCATTCTTCATTTTATTTCTTTGCTTTTTTGCCCACATTTCTTATTTTCTAACTTATTCCTCTACACTTTTTCTTGTGTGCAATCTCCAATATTGGGAGGACAGTGATTTCTGCATCCATCAAAAACAGCCATTGCACAAACTATTTTTGTCATTCTTCACCTCTAAGTTGAAGGATCCATGCAAAAGATGAAGCTTCCAGGCTTGGGCTCCATCTCCCTGACTTCCATTAGTATGTTTCATCTTCTAGCACTTTCCCTTAAAGTCCTAATTGCCTAAATTTCTTCTGATGTTCCCCTGGGCACAAGGATCCCTCCCTAACAACTGTTACCTTGCCATTCAGCTAACAGTACTTGAAGTGTCCTATACTAATCTTTCCCCTTCAAATCTATCCAAACTTGTTACTACTTGATATTACAGTTCCAGGGCTTCAGATGGTGCAGGGAAGAATCTGCCTGCCAATGCAGGAGACACAAGAGAATTTGATCCCTGGGTCGGGAAGATTCCCTGGAGGAGGAAATGGCAACCCACTACAGTACTCTTATCTGGAGAATCCCTGGACAGAGAAGCCTGGCGGGCTACAGTCCATGGGGTTGCAAAGAGTCAGACACAACTGAGTACACAACACACACACATAACAGTCCCATTTTTCAAGTGACAGTATCTACAAAAGCAATTAAGGAA